CCAGATTGTCCTTTAAAATCAATTTTGACTTTCATAGCATCATTCTTAATTATTATTGCACAAATATTTATACTAATATCCGGTTTCACTCTGTATACTATAACATAAATCTAAATGTATTCATCCGAGTGCTTTAGAGGATTTTTATTTTATTTTTTCAATTGCTGGTTTCCTTCTGAGGTTGATATTCATTACACAATTATTATTCTTATCATGGATCAAAACTTTTCACTAAGTGTTCACTTCTCTTCTCTCTTCGTTCCCTCTAAATAAATATTATTCTTAAGATTACGAAGTTTGTAATTAAGACAATAAGTTGTGTTATACTTACATTAACTTCTCAAACCTGTTTTATATTCACTATGCATATATGACTCATACATATTGATATTTTATTATCCTTTTCACTCAATTGAGACTTTCATCGCATCACTCCAAACTATAACTACACAAACATTTATTCTAGCGTCATATCGTACTACAATTATAAGTTATTTTTTCTTAATTACTTTTGTTACTAATTTAATGATACACTCATAATCGTTTATTCTTGCTCTGTGTTCATAAACACGCCTATTAGACTGTTTGAGTATTTCACGTCTCCTTTATTTCTATTCCCTTATTTTATCCATTTCCTTCTTTAAACTCAATTCAATATTCTTCTCGATCACACAGACCCGATTTATTATTATTATTAATATTCTACTATTATTGCTCTAAATGTTTTTTTAATAGCAAGTATAATGCTGACATTATTGGAAATTGTGTATTATTGCATTTTTTGACGAAACCCGAAATGGTTTCTTCACAACACTTATGTACCCATAAGATGTTTGTGAATAATAATAATAATAGAAGTTACCATGTGAACTTCACAATTTTCTGCCTACCGCTAATGGTCCTTCAACTAGAGATCCAATAAACCATCCCCTTGTTCCGATAGTACAAAACACCATCAACTCAAATGTAATGTGGGTGTCTTTCTGTTTACTTTTTATCAATATACTACTTTAGCGCTCACTTTATTGATATATCATTCCACTAGATTTGGCCAAACTCATTACTATTATATTCCTACACATTTCCTACTGCATTGTTGAAAATTCATCGGGAGTTTTAACTTCTCAAATGATTTCGCATTGTTTCAAAACCCATATTTTATCCTATAGTCATTTAAAGGATTGAGTCGATGCCTTACCCCCACTCCACTATTTGCAAATGTCTAGTATGTTTGTAATACAGTACTTGTAGGAACAGTGTGTCCTAACAGAATGTTAAACATAGAGCATCCAGTAAGACAGAATACTTTGTCTGGAAACCACTTTTAATGAGACTAAAATTACAATGGTATGGGTGGAGTTGCCGAATTGCAAGCATTGATATCCGATACGACTGATTTAGACGACGGTGTGCGGTAGAGTATGTTCCCTTTAATTGCACAGTTCAACGAAAATAAACCAACTCAAAAATAGTTAAAAATAGAACCAAGATGTAATTGTTCAATAATAACTAAACTGGGCGACAAACTAAGAAAATGTTGTGCTAGAATGTTGGATAAGCCGTATCCAAATTCCCTTGTACATCAATCTTCATACGATTTAAAATACTATCTTTTTATTCAAACAAAACTAGGTCTTATACTCTTGAAGTTATTCTACAGATACTGTTAAAAAAGTAATGGGGTGCATTTTTAGTAACGTGATACTCATCGAAGTTGATCATTATGACTTTGTAGTTCATTAATTCAATAAAATGGTTCAAAACTAGAGATTTATTGTTTTAACTTGCAGTCTGCTTGAGACGAATAGTGCCTTAAATCAAATTAAATGTGCAAATCACAAAAATAACTTATCTGTTTGGATAACGAATATACTCCAGTTGGACAGAAATCTTGTGATGTGAATTATATCGGAGCCACACTTCACGGTTGGGGACTAACCTGTACCATCTTGTTATGATATCAAGACTTTTTACCTACTTGATGGCTGCGTGGAACGAGCATGGTCTCACCAACGAAATTTATTATACTGAAAAGCTGCAGAAGTACGTAGTACAACCGCTAGCGCATGCGCCAGACTACAGTGTGCAAGTGACCACTCAGGGTTGATCTAAATGGTGTTTCGACAACTGTCTAACGTTCAGCAATCTGCAGTGTACCGTGTCTACTACCCACCTTGACTGTTGACTGGTCTAACACTCGGTGACTTATCACTGACCCTACAAGTACGTGATCTGTGTATTTACTTTTGAATGACGAGGTTATATAACTGACAAAGTGCTCTTTAATAGGATTGAAAGTGTACATTATCACTGATGTGTGGGCGATAAAATTACTTATTGGTTATCCCACAAGTCAGGCCAGTAGGTAGTCTGACAGTTATTAGATTTGATTTATATTTTCCGACTCCTGATTTTTGTTATTGTCGCCGGCTGTTGGTTTTGAACTATACTCACGTTCAGGTCAGGTCAATCACGTGTTCGTGATCAGAGTTTCGTTGAAGTCCTGTAGAGTATATACTGGCACAGTGTCTAGTGTAGAAATTCGTCTAAGGTAAAGGTAATATCCCATTGATGTAAACGATAAGAATGAAACACTTAAAATATATTATCCCGGAAACAAATCTCAGAAATCAATTTTTGGATGGGAGTTTAAATTTTAATCTAACTAAGCCGGATGTAGGCAAACTGACGGATTGAAATGAATAACATTTCAGCCACTTCATCTGGCGAGTTTCAGCCTAATTAGTCCAAACACGGTAGCCAGACCTTAAACTGACAGGACCTGGTCAGTAAAATCCCTTGTTGATATGACGGGCTAAAAATAACTTTTTATGTATAGCATACGACTTTAGGGCAGCCCATATTGGTAATATGTCGCGATATGATTTAACATCCGTAGTCTAGACAAAGTTCAGTAAATCGTTCAATGTTTTAACATCCAGTTCATTTAAATTTGCACATTAGAGAGAATACAATGTACGAAGTATGCTGTTCCTCAGTCGAAATAATGATATTATCTGATTTTACTTTGTTGACATTTCGGTTTTATCACTAAGCCTTCTTCTCCTGATATTAGTGTAAATTGTGAAGCTATAATAATAACAAATATTTAACACAAACTTACCGTTTAGACAAAGCTGTAAGTATTAGTTTCTCTTCAATCCACTGTTGACTTCACAACAATTTAGATAGGAATGCACCATTATTATAGAATGTACATGGATATTGTTATAAAACGAACCGAACGTTTTTTCTGATTGAAATTCTTCAGTCTCTTAGGAATAATTTGCCGTTGTGTTTCTCCCAGAACCTTAGGTGACATGACCTACAAAATATTTAGAACCTTTTGAGTGTTTACTAAAAAACTATTATTGAGGAATCCCTTCTATCATGTCTTTTTACCCCAAGAACTATATAACTCTTTTAGATTAGAACCACTTTAAAAAGTACTTTAAATGAATATGCAGCTCACTTACGTAGATGATCTTTGTCGAATGACTTGGGGGCCTGCTCTATTCAGATGGGAATGAAGTGATCAAATAGCCAACGACGTGTTCATGTTTCGCGGTTAGAGCCTAACGCGGATAACCCTTTTGCTCTGTCCATATACTATGGTCCGTTTGATGATCGTGAAACACAAGCGACGTTATTAGAGAAATGCAATGGTAACACTAAGAGCAGATTGCGACTACTGCAATTAATTGATGATTGTTGGTTGTCTTTGAAAATGATGAGGATCGGTAAACTGTTCGATTTTCAGTGACCCAACTGCCGGATTACTTGGCTAAGGCTCAGTGACATTTCACTTAATGGTTTAAATTGTTTAGTCCGGTTGGTGTTTTTCAGGGAGATTTTTTTCTACGGAATGGAGCTGCCGACCTCATACCCAATTCCATCCTTTACCTGGGGTTGGGACCGGCATTAACTCTAGAATAGCTATAAGCAGAGTTGTGACATTTAACTAGCCATACAGACATTAGATTCAGATTACATTACAAATGCAATTTGTGCAGCCGTGAACAATTAGGTGGAATCTGATCATGGTGCATTATATCGCTTATGATAATTTTCTTCCAACTGGATTATCAATACGATCCAATAATAAACTAAATTAAAAGGATAGTTACGAATGAGCCAGAACAAAATAACACGAAAGCTTTGACATTTAGAATCACAACAAGAATTATTTATCTACGCACCCGAAAACCCAATTCATCAACCGAGATGCAGTTCTCAATGGACTTATAATTTTCCATTTTTTGTTCATGAACGTTTGAGTAAGTAAGGAACTAATGACCTTGGAAAACGCACTAATTTAGTGTAACGCCGCATTCTTATGTGGCCGGAGATTTTACTGTGCCTGTTTTCTTCAGCAATTTACTTTAATTCTTTGGGATGCGGATTCGTTTTTGATGATGTGTCTGCTATTAAAGACAACCAAGATTTACGCCCGTCTACAAGTTTAGCAGAGCTTTTCAAAAATGATTTCTGGGGGACTCCTATGAATGAGGTTTGATGGAAATCGTTCTAAGTATTATTTTGTTAGGAAAGAAGCCATAAGTCATATAGGCCGTTCACTGTCCTCACATTTAGAGTTAACTATTTGTTTCATGAACTTAGTCCTACAGGATATCATGCCACAAATATCGTCCTTCATTCTGTCGTCGTGTTTTTGTTTTTCAAGTATCTTTGGGTTCCGAATAACACTTTAGATTGTGTTTGTGCTATTTGCAGAGTGAATCAGCGTTTTTCAGCTCTATTTTATTCTCTGCACATCCTGTCCACACGGAGGCTGTATGAAGAAATTAGCTAAAAAATATTTTTAGGTTACTGGAGTTGTAGGAAGAGCTGAACTTCTATCCTCGGTTTTTTTCTTATCTGCTTTGCTGCTTTACATAAAAGTTTCGAATGCTTCTGCACAAAGTAAGCTTCATTTACGGTTTTCATAATGTGCTTTCTTAGCCAGTGTTCGTCCTTAGGCGTTTTTGTCATTCCACATTAAAATATTTTGATCAGTGACACATATGTTTCACGGTTGTCCTTACGTTAAAGGAAATATATGACTATGTATATCGGCTGTAATGAAGATACTTGATAAAATGTTATAAGATGTACATGAAAAAATAAAAACAATCGACATTAATGAATGTGGTTCAGACACAAATAAGATAAATTCCATTTAGCTTGGAATCCCCCCAAAATTTGTGAAGAATACAAAACAAAGGAGCTACAGAACTCACTTTCAATCAAAGTGGTTTTTCACAAGCTTCTGGTTTGTATCATTTGGGACCTTATCAAGAAATCAAATGAAATGATGAGTTTCGACAGCAGACATGTATCCCTATAGGAACGATGTGCGTTATACTTAAACTGGCATGTATTCTGTTTGGTTTTATCAAACCCTTCGTAAGATTTTTGCATTATCTGTAAAAGGCGAAAGTGACTAAGTACGCTGTATGGTTAGGACTTTCTTTTGGGTTTCATAATTGTTTTATGAGTTCTTCATTTTTTTGAATCCCTATTTTACTTCTGCTATGGACTTCTTGTATTTAGCTCCGTCCTACCCTTCTAGTTTTCCTCCTAGGTTTGACAATTCGGGGTTATGAAGTGCTGTCTCTGCTTTTTCAGAACTATCCGTATCCTTTCACGCAACTCAGATAAAATAAAAGACAAGTTCTACTCATAATTTTCTAGTTTCCCTTAGAAAGCTAGATTTACGGATATATTGACTGGCGTTTTTAAAACCAAGGAAAACCCGAAGGAAATTCGATTGTGGACCGGTAAGAAGCTTGCGTAATAATGATCATATGCAGTGGTGGTTGATAAAAGCAAAAGAAAAGAGAAATATGGCATCTTTAATAGTTTTCGGACGATACTGAACGGAAGTCTGCTTACAGCATATTAATGAGTTTATAATCTGGTTTTATCAACTGATGGAGTAGTGGGCTTTATTAATCATTCACAATCGGTATTTTAACGATCATTCGTTAACTCTGTCTTGAGTGTCATGGATTAGGGTGTACTTCCTAAAGAAACCTCTGGGCTGAGAATAACAAATAAAATCTATATTGATACATATTAAGTTGTGACACACTATTTGAAAAATATACTTACGAGAGGAACTCTACTGACTTTTTCAGTCACTGATAGCTTGCAAATAAATGATAATCCACAGGACTGAATGATTTACCATCCGATAATAATTCATTATTTTCTTATTTTGTGCCTGGAAGTGTGAGAAAATAAACATGAATAGGTATTCCTCAACTTATAGTCTTAATGATGCGACAGATATTCAGCGCCTGACAAAGATTTTGTCTTTAACGCCTTTATAATCAAAGGATACCAACCCAGTCAAATAAGAAGTCAGGGATTAGTGAGCTCGAGGATATAAGTATAAAGAAGCGTTTGATCTAGGCTCGCTAGCAGTTGCGAGAGGTGTGTAACACGACGTACTCAATAGTAATCTGATGCGGATGCGTAACCGAGTGTCTTCATCTGGGTGGTGTCCAATAAAACCAACCAAGGTCAGCATCAGTGTCGAAGACTTGACTATTTATTTTGGGGATTTATTCACTGCTACAATCTTGATAAAAAATGATATTCAAATCTCCCTGGATGTTCACTGAAACCATGACTTTGGGATTCCATGTTTTGATTCTCTACTAGATGGTTCTTACAGTAGTGAATAATTTCTTGTTTCAAAATCCACTTTGATTAGTTTTTGTAACCACGTCACTAATTCATTATTATCTAACAAACAAAAAACAGTGTAACTGTAGTTTACCATAATAACTGTTCCTGGACGCCCCAAAAAAATTTTAGTCCTCGTTTCGAAGAGCAACAAGGATCAATAATAATACTAATTATAGTTTTCCGGTCGAAATAATCTTTTGCCTTCCCGTAGAGTAAATACTTCATTCCTGCAGTATTTTCCCTCTCGGTTCATCTATTCTTTCTATCTTTTACAGCGTAGTTTGTCGAATTGGGCTACCTAAATTGGCATAAAATTGAACCAAGCTTATACACTGATACACTAATTATGTTAATACAATTAACAACGTTTTATGTACAGTTATACCTTATTACTATTGATCCTTCAGGTTAACGGTCTTTGGTATCAACGGGGTGATATTTCTCAAATGGTCAAAAATGGTTCACTTCATAAATTACTGTTTGCAAGCCTTTTGTAAGAAATAAATTGAATATAGTTACATTTGTAAAATGATAGACAAGTAGAACATAGAATGCAACAACTGACTGAGTCAATAGCTTAACAATTATATCTTGGATTTATTCTTTCCAACTGTGTTTCACATATTGTCAATTTCTATTATCTCATTTAGTAGCTTTTACTGTTCTATGGATGCGTGTAGTGTTTTTCATGAGTAGTAAGCAAATATGTAACACGTCAATAAACTAACCTTTTACTCTCTATAGGTCACACAATTTTAGGTATGAAAATAATGCTCAACGTATACATTTTTCGTAAAAATATAAATCTGAATTATTATCAAGTTATGTTTTTGTGGTTTTCGCTTTGTGAACGTAACGTTTATTTTCTGTCCTGGATGTTCGGTTTATCTTTGTATTCAATCGCAAACGTAGGTGTCTGTTTTTCAAATAGCATTGTTTAACAAGGTATTCTACATTTCTCCATAGGTTTTTGGGCGAATTCGATTAACGTGCTCACAGTGGGCTTTTTAATATGTGTAGGAACATTTTGCAAGGAACAGTGTATCACCGTCTTCGGGATTTTTATCGCTTACGAACTTTATGCCGTTTATCAAGTAAGCCGCATTGTTGATTACCCATATTTCTAGAAAATTTTATCAAGTGGACATGACTTTTCGTCTAATAGTTTCAAAGACAATTGCCAAAAAGACAAAACGTTCAAGGATATAGTTTCATCTGCTTATAAAAAAATTCAGTTTAAGTTGTTTTCACCAGCGTGGTTTTCATGTGCACCCGTCTACAGAATGTTCATTCTTCTAGTGTTTTTCATTGCTATATTGATTGCACGTATTAAAATAATGGCTGGACAGTTGCCACATTTTACAGAGTAGGTAGCACTGATTAACATACTTTTTTCCTAACTATTTTTTATTAATCATTATTGTCTAATACGTTTGTAATCCCCCATATTTTTAATGGTATGTTACTGATAGTGCTTTCCAACACTCATTGTACGTGCGTATATAAGTTCGTTATTTCGTTGAAAGATGTGTGGTTTGTTGATTCATCATTTAATCACATTTCAGCGCATCTAATTGTGAAGCATTTCCCAACATTTTCTGTTGTATCACTGGGTTTTCCTAATAGTTTAAATAAGAATTTTTCTTTGTCTGGGATGATAGGCATCAGAATTCCAAGACTATAAGTGATAAAACTCAATGGACTTAATCCTCATTTAAATTTTGAATAATTCAGTAATATCCATTGTCGTTGACTATCTAACTGAAGTCCTTTCGTAGTGTAAAACTAAAAATATTCATTCAACCTTCTCACCTAGTATATTTTTGTTTGTTTCATTCTCTTTAGATTTTCGTTTATTATGCTGTCAAATCCATTCACTTCTATACACAGTCGAAATGTTGATATGTTTAGCTGCATCAGAACCTTTCTGTTCAAATTGTATTTTTAACATTCCTCGTTCATATTCCCTTGGTTTTGATAATCTTAGCAGTTTTTAATGGACTCAAAATTGTTTGATTTTATTAATTACATCATGTCTTACGTTTTATTAGAGTAGACTATTTCATTCCTGTCACCGGGCTCTAACGCTTATATGTAGAGAGGTAATTGCTGATCATTGTATGCACTTACTTATGATTCTTAAACTACTGTATCTTTTGTATGTAGGTTTGATAACCCAGCTTCTCATGCACCTCCACTGACTCGTCGCCTCACTCATCTTTACCTGGTTCCTGTTAATCTAGGCTTATTAATATTCCCTTCTAATCTATGCGCTGACTGGACTTTGGGAAGTCTAAAGCTTATTCAAGGCTGGGCAGATCCACGTAATATTTTGACGCTGATGGCCTTCAGTTTCATCTTATTGCTAGTTTTCATTACTGTTAATTGGAAAACACCTTTACATCAAGGTCGAGCTGTATGTATGGTATGTTATTTTTATAGCGTATTGTTCATCACTTATTCTTGAGAAAGTTTTGAGTGTGAAGAAGGATACATAATTTATCAGTATGCGTTTTATTCTCACTTATTGTAACTAAAGCAGCTTAAGATTAGGTCCTGATTGTTTTATTTTTGTTGGTTAATTTATGATACTGGACTGCAGTTAACCAAGGTTTTATTATATGTCATTCTTTTCATAGGCTCTGAGTTTGATGATATTTCCCTTTATACCAGCCAGTAATTTATTTTTTCCCGTTGGTTTCGTTGTTGCTGAGCGTGTTTTATACACACCAAGTTTGGGCTTTTGTCTACTTATTGGTTTGGGTTTTGAAAATCTACTTGGTCTTAAGTTTGTCCAGACAAACACTATGACAAGTTCAAAATCATCTGAAGTAAAGAAAGTTTGCAGGTAATATAAATTTCAAGACTTATTCTGTTGGCTTTTAAACACTGACTGAAATTCTTTTTCATAAATTCACACTAGGTTTATTCAACATTGGTTATGCTCAAAGAGAGATTCGTTTTTATGTTTAATTTCAGTTGGCAGTTCTAAACGAAACACTTTATTTTGTCATCTAAAGTTTATAGCGAATATCCAACTAATATGATAGTTTTTACTACTAATCGAAATCAGTTTATCAAGTATTGAGAATCAGACATCACTGAGTGTCATCGTATGGGGCCTAATAAGGAGTTCTTTCTCGGGATCGTGACAAGCCTTTTATTATTAATTTTCTGTGACCACTAAACTGCTGGTCGATGAAGGCCAAAATGCTCAGTATTATTTCAATATCAGTCTGTTCAGTATACGGTGACTCACTTCCTAGTTAAGCACAGAGGTTTCAATTGACAGCCGGAACCCTTCGTGTGACCATTAGCTCACGGGTTTGATTGCATACAGAATCCATAGTTAGCTGCGGTAAGCCCTTTCAAATCTAAAATAAATGTCCGATAGACTTTAGTTTTTAAGTGTACACAAGCTGTCGTAACTGTTGGGATTTACAAGTTCGGTCCAGTCACAATGCATAAGCTTTTTTAAACGCTTGACCGAACCGATAAGGAAACTAAAAATATGTTGAGAGGTTTGTGCTAGAGACTAAATAATTATGTACATAAATCATATGTGTGGTTAGTATTAGAATGATTCAGATTAAGAAATATAGGTGGTGAATAATTATCACAGTCATACTACCTTGCCGGGCTTTACCTTCCTCACTTCTATGTTCCCTTGAGACAACATGTAATTTGTATTAAATCGCCCCGCCTATAGTAAGCCTTTAGTGATAACTGTCTTTGAGCATACTTGATTTATCTTACCAAATTTGAATTATTTTCGTCACTACAACCAGATGGCAGAATAAAAGCAGACCTTGTAGAGCGTTTTCAGATATTGTATGCTTCTTTTTTTCCATTTAGATGAAAGAAAACAGCAGAACCCCTGATCAAAGTCATAAAACACATTTGTCTTAATCTCTATTAACTCATACAAATTTTATGAACATTTAAATGTCTTAGTATTGTTATTATTCGGAAGAAGACTAAATGAATGGTAACTGCCAGATTTGATCTATGGACCATTATATATATATATATATATATATATATATATATATATATATATATATATATATATATAGGGTTGATCATGTATAATTGATTTTTTATGGTGCGATACGGTCTGGTCTGCTTGTATATCAGTTAGTCAGCTACAACTTGGGACCAGGCGCATATATGCATCGATCCAAGTTGCCATACCTCATTAGCACAGCAAGATGGACGCCGGATTCATAAAAGTAGTTAATTCAGTGGTGGTAATATATAAAAGAAATATTGCATATAGTACAGGAAGAAAGAATTAGTTCGTAGAAAGAAAGATATGAAGTGATTTTAATCTCTTAGTTTAAGGGAAGATAAAGAGTGTATACACCGACGCCATTGTGATCGATTCTGAGCCATGTGGCTAAGAGTCTCCAACCATTGGTTACGAAAGTCACGCGGACCCCAACCAAGTAGTCTGCATCTACCAACATGGCTCAGACTAGAAGTTAGTGACTTCAAGCACTGATGCCAAGTTTTGGTTTGGGCGCCCCTGACTTTCTTCCAACAATCCCCTGACATCATTAATTCTCTACTGTATATCAGTCCACGATGAATTCTAGGTATTCGTTCTGGCATGACAGGGAAGCTTCTTGCCTGCGACCAATTCTTTGAACTATGCACTAAATTCACCAAAGTAGACGATGTTTCAAGACAGTACTTTGCTCACTGACTATCTATAACTTGTGTCATATGACAGTCCATGGTTTTTGGTCAATTCTTCTGAGATTTCTTGTTACATTTTTATCTATTCCTCCGTGGTCACGATGGCTGATTTGGTGAATAAATGAGAGTCAGAATTTTTATCAAAGTTTTTGTATTCAATTACGTAAACTAAATGTGGTAAGTTTGCACATACTTTTTAAAACAACTTATTAAACTTCTAATTTTGGATTCCATATATGTTTTTAGCTTCAAAAATGGTCTTCACTCTCGAAAATATCCTCGAATCTCAATGGGACTAGTCATTATCGCATTCGTTTGTAAGACTGTTAGACGCAATACAGACTGGTATGCTTCTTTGAATATATCTATCAGTATATATCATTCATTTCTTGTTAATATATGTAATAAAGCATGAATAAAATGTTCTCTCTATCCTGACATCTAAATTGTTTTGTTACCCGTTGAACAAGTTGATATTAAGTTGGAAATATTTATAGTGGACGAAGACTTGGTGGAGAAAACCAATTTATTGTTTGATGAAAAATCCCACAGTGGCTCAGTAAAACATGAAAATCATCCATTAAGTACATTATTTGCACATATTCCATCAGTTGGCCTGTACATACTTCTTGATTCTTCTAATTCTGTTTTTATTCATATTGCCTTCTGTTTCCCTCCTTGTTCTCATCGATTCAATCTTCTGCTAGCAAGCATTCCACTTTCAATCCCTATTACATACTACTTATGTATGTCCGCATAACTAGCATACGCTACATATTGTCGAATATCTCGGTATCAAGTCTAACGACCCAAACTTCACTATTATGATAATCGTTTGCCAAAAGAATAAAGTGATGTGAAACTCGATTCATGTGGTCAAAATACATTGGTTTTTGTTGTGGTTGAATGCTTTTTATTTATCAACACCGCTTTTGCAACGTTAAGAAGATTCAAAACAGAAGAATGAGGCTCCTAATGAATTACATTTGTGCTGAGTAATACAACTCTATCATCCTTACTTAAGTTATTCTTATCTTCTACTTTGTGCCTTCATCCTTTATGAGGCTAAAAATCTTAATTATCTTGGATTTTCTAGGTCGAACGAATACAATCTGTTTACATCAGCGTTAAAAGTAAATCCTAACAATGCCAAAATGTGGAATAATGTGGGGCATTCTTTGGAAGCTGAAGGAAAGTACTCAGAAGCACTCGGCTACTTTAGAAAAGCTGTCAAGTACGTTTCATATTCTCTCTAGCTCACATTCCTTTTGTGCCTAGCAAATCTTTTATATCAGACCATTAAATATAAGATAGATATCTGTCATTAACTTTAATATTGCCTGTGGTCGATAATTATCATTTCACAGCAAATAGTTTCTCTGATAAATACTTTCGCTTCAATTCCTTGTATTAACTTACTCTACCATAAACATAATCTGATGTAATCATAATTCATTTCAGTTGTCTAAATAGGCACATATCTTCTCGAGGTTTCAGACGATCCTTGTGAATTTGCCATAACAATAAAAAAACCTGTTCCGAGCTTTTCATTGATTTCCTCAGATTGATCATGGAAAATTATTATCCAATATTTTCAAATGTGTCAGCTGTATCCTCTGACTTTTGGTCCATCTTTAATTGATTTAACTCAGTCATCAATTTAGCAATGTTTAATTTAACCTGGTAATTTCTTAACATATACTTCTTATACTAGCCTCTCATTTCCTTTTGTAACCAAATGTTTTTTTTCGAGATGGGCTTGTGGGTAAATATTATTTTCTATAGGTAACATCTATTCGTCTTTCGAATTCGATAATCTCACTTTAATCCGACATGCTCCGTCTGGCTAAAACCGTATTAATAACTTTCTATGCATTTAACGTTGACATGTCTTCTAATGGAACACTAATCATTATATCTGATCGTCGCGGATTATTATGTCGGAATCACTTATCACTTATACTCGAAAACGAGAAAACACTGCAATTCCGACGTCGCGAAAGTAAGAACACCACAACTGATACAAGTAAAGATTTATTAACCCCGTAACACGACGACGACGACCGTAGTCGAAAATATATGTTGATTTGTACATCCATTTCAACTATTAATTAGTACGAATCACATATATGAAAAATACTTAGAAGTATCCCATGCTACATGTCATACTGTGCATGGTTTATTTCAATTGAATACAAGAATATCGTATGTCATACAGAATAAAATATCATAAGGGAAACAAAACAAATACTACACAAAGTAATTATCACATTGAATTAAGAAGGAAGTAACGTTGAATAAAATATTACAATGAGTAAATCGATCTAATTTTGACTTCTCTTCCCGTCATATCAAACATATACTAAATTTCGTAGCCGGAAATTTCCTCATCATAAAAATCTTTCTACTTTGCTTAAAATCTGCAGAATAATTATACAGAATAATTTCATTGTATACCTCTAAATTATGCATATTCTGTAGTGTTCAGCCAAATGATATGGGCGCTCGAATTAATGTTGGCCGCACATATGTAAACCTGGGAATGCCAGATAAAGCAGAAGAAGCGTATTACGGAGCGCTTGAATATTTCCCTAAACCAAAGAAAGGTATGTATGCTGTTTTTTAGTAATAAAAATAACTAGAAACCAAGATTAACGCTTGTTAACCCAATTAATCTGTAGAAATATTGTAACGACTGACATGGACGAACTGATAATTTATTGAAAGGATCAACTACCAAATACCAACTTCATAAATTTTCTTCTTGTGCTCTACTAATTACGAACCTGTTGACACTAAGCTGTATACTTCAAAAGCAATCAATAGTCCATGCAACTTCTATCTCGTTCCCCCAACTACCAATCAGAACCCTAGGAAAACTATATAAGTACCCCATACTAACCTGGACTGTTTGAATTGTAACGTCCATGTGATTATTCACATAAAATGCAGAATTGTGGTGCACAATACTTACAAAACTAATACATTTAAGATACTAATATGAATAACAGTTTTATAACTAATTAACAGTAATTTGTATGAAAAAATATATGGCGATAATCGGTGTCAGATAGAATTTTAGAACTAGTACAGCCTAAAAATACCGTAAATCAGTTATTTAGTACGGTCTAGAATTGTATACACTGATGCACTGAAAGATAGCTTCCTAAGTTTCCCGTTTCCATTTATTTGCTCATCCATATTACACTCGAGATTTTAAAATGTAGAACCTTTGAAGAATTAGCTATATAGATATATTAAGTGCTTGGAGCTGTTATGTATATGAAAAAATACTGAAACAAAGTATTTTTTCTCATATACATGGCCGGTAAGAGTAGAGGATATCCGTAGGTTACTAGTATTTGATCATAGGTGTCTTCCAAACATTGCTCGTATATCATGGGACCATCGAGTAAGTAACACAGTTGTTAGGAAACGGGTACTAGGTAAGGATAGCAAATCAATTGATGAAGTAGTGAAACTTCATCAGTTGAGATGGCTGGGACACGTGTTACGTATGCCCAACGACCGACTGCCTCGACGTGCTATGTTCAGTGGTATAGGTGTAGGTTGGAAGAAAGCTAGGGGCGGTCAAACCAAAACATGGCACAAGTCCATGAAGTCACTGACAAGTGAACTGAGTCATGTTGGTAGGTGTAGACTACCTGGTTGGGGACCGCGAGATGATAGCAACCGATGGTTAGAGACCCTGAATGACATGGCTCAAAATCGTTTGCAATGGCGCAGGTGTATCCACTCTTTGTGTTCTCTCGAATTCTAATCTGAATTCTTCATGTCCCTTTTTCCTCTTTCCAAATTTATTTCACTGAATTATACTCTTTAAATAACATTTCCAAACCCTAATCTTCCCGATTACTGCTTATACTCTTATTATCTCTACCACTACGGGATTTGAATCGACAAGTGCATCTCTGTGCTAATGTGGTGTGGCAACTCGAACTGATGCACGTACGTACGAAGTTCTACGTTGTTACTGACTGACTGACTGAAACAAAGTCGTATGACCTTTATTTGCTTGTCACGTAAAAAATAAATAACTAAAAGTGGAAGTAACTGTCTCAAAAACCAATGTTCATTCGATTGTGCTCGTTATAACAGTTTTCGACGAGTTAATGTGGTATTGGCTATTGTCAGTGTAATCTGAATGTTGTAAAATATATTTTCATGGATTATGTAGTTGGATGGTTCGATAAAAAGAATTCCTTAGCTGATAGAAAACGTTGTTACACAGTTGAAGTAGTATTACTTGTTAAGTCTAAACGTATCAGTAATTATGATGATTAAAAAAGGTGCTGAATAACACTACTATGTTGCGGTTTATCACTTTAAGTACCCAACCCTAAACTCAATTATATCAAGTGTTTTAAAAGGGTTTCCTTCACAAAGTTTTTGTGAGAAGGTAATATTACTAAGTTGCACACCATAAATATGACCTTTAGTATACCAACTTATATACAGTTACTTGAATTGCACTATAAAGTCTAGAGAAAAATTTGAGATTAGCGACTTTATTTGGAAATATCCGAGAAATTATCTCATTATAATGGTTTTACTTTACTTTTTCTTAGGGTTCACCGTCGGACTTTGATTTGTATTTGCTTGTCATAATCGTTTCTCTTAGCTCGGTCGTCTACTTAAAAGATTCCCTATATTTCTAGTACAAATGCTTCTGGTTTCTCAACACACTTGAAGCGCGACGACAATTTATTTCTGTATGTTGTATCATAACAAATCGGAGTTAATTATTAAAAAAATATAAGGCTAGTAACCTTACTTCCAAGACATTCTTAAGCTTATTATGAGTGATGTTTGGTTTACGATTTTTCAGGCTTCCTTTAAATTCTTTTTTAAAATTTGGTCGCTGACGTACGCTGATATTATTCAGTGTTTGATTTATACATTTCATAGGTCAAACTTATTATGCTCGTGTTTCTCCCAAAGATCTAATGGTTTTTATTAATCTTGCCAATTTATATATCACTAAATCACCCCCGAGGCTTGAGGATGCTGCTACTCTTCTTCGTCGAGCCATTTCACTGCGATCTGATTTTGTGGACGCTTACCAAAACTATGGTAGTGTACTTATCAAGTTAGGAAGGTAAGTCCCCAATCTGAGCTCAAGAAAAGATGCTCATTTTCAAAACATTGTATTTGGTTGGTGATTTGTATCTCAAATGTATATAAGCAAACAATACTCCTCCCAATAAACTAAGGTCTTCTGCTCAGTTTTTTTAATTTATACGGCAACCTTTTTTGTCATCAGAAGGATTCGGAACCTAACCACTTTTGGCAGATTGCTCTTAACTAAGTGGATAATTGAAAAAGAATGGTTGATGTTAACTCTAATGTCCGTCTGAACTTGATTCTCAAAGATCAGACCATTGGTAGTATTATATAAACCTTTACCCTTACTCACTCTGGAGGGTGCTTATCAGCACAGTAAAGTTAATTGGTAGAACATTAACCAAATCTATGAACAGGAGCAGTTAAATTGCTAGATATACAGCGAAACTAAAAGACAAATTATCAGAAGGGGTTTTGTGGAGATTTTAGAAATTTCACTGATTGAAACTAGACCACCATGGAAAACCTAGAAGCACTGGACGGCCGTTTCGTCCTAGTATGGGACCCCTCAGCAGTGCGCATCCACGATCCCGCACTCCGCGAGATTCGAACACAGGACCTATCAGTCTCGCGCCAGGCGCTTAACCAACTAGAATCTCGCGGGGTGCGGGATCGTGCACTGCGGAGGAGTCCCATACTAGGACGAAACGGCCGTCCAGTGCTTCCAGGTTTTCCATGGTGGTCTAGCTTCAATTCACTCATGATTTCAATCAGTAAAAGACAAATTATCTAAACTGGCCATCTTTTTTTACATACTTCTGCTACATTCAAAAGTGTACAAGTCCGTTGAAGTTAGTTACGTAATATGCCCAGTTATGTGCTATTTGTTCGTTAATTAATATCAATATTATCTCAGTTTCTCTTAGTCAATAGAATATAATGACTAAAATGTAACTTCTCTGGTAGTTTAGAATCAGCTTATTCATCTTCTGGTTTGTTAAATTCACCACAGTAATATTTTGTCTATTTCTTTTATTACTCAAAACTCTAGGTATAAAGAAGCTGAGGAAGCGTATAGAAATGCTTTATTGTACCAACCGAAAAGCCCAGATTTAAATTACAACGTAAGTATAATATATTGTTACTTCATCTCCGTGCATATACCATGCTTGGAATCTTGCATCATATTGCTTAATAAATTTATATCGCTTGTTGTCACCGTGCAGTTTCCGAAACATCCACTTACAGTACGAACATTAATACCCGATTTATTAGGAAATCAAGAACTTTAAATCCAAGCGAAAGAAGTAAATCCAGTATAGTGTAAAAGTAAACTAACACCTAAATAGTAATTAAATTGACAAAACATTATTCCTTGTAGTACAATACTTATACCAATTAATACTTGTGAAACCACTAAGATTCTTACCAGAAACGTGTTAGAATCTATTCAGTTCAAAGAAATAGTTTTATTTGGATGATAACAAAATAGTTCTCATTCATTAAAATTAAAGCCATTCCTTTTTGAAAATGGTTTATAACACCAACACATTTGTGTTTACAATCTGTCCATTCTTGTTCTAAGATGCATACGAATATTATTTAGGGACGGTGTCGAAGGTTTCTATTATAAATGATCTAATGAGGTAAATGGTGTGGAAATATAACTTCCGAGGCTATCATACGAGGGATTATTATTTATATTATTGTATAATTAGTAGACGCTTGGATTATCGTATTATTCATTGAAATCATGAACCAATCGGTGTATTCTTTATTTTTATATTCGCCTATCGACAAGTAGCTGTCGTCCGTCTCATTATTTCAGATTTATTATTAATTATTTTCACTGAAATCATGAACTGATCTAAGATGTTTGTAATAGCTTTTTACTGGTAAAGCACAAGAAACAAATTTGCACGTTTATTTTCTTTGGGAACAAAGTTAGTCTCAAGGTCCAGAGTTTTAGAACGTTATTAAGCAAATGTTTTTCATTTTTAAATATGATGTATTCATACTATTTCCTCATGGAAACAGTAACCAAACTGGTTGTTCGTATGCATTGTCGCTTTGACTAATTGATGGTTTTCACCGTGATGAATAATTGCTAAATTGGATCTCTTTACATTTCATTAACATTCTCTTTCAGTTGGGAGTTGTCCTCTTGGAGTCTCATAAGAAATCAGAGGGTTTGTCTTATCTAAACACTGCCTTAACTTACAATCCACAACATGAGGTATGTTTTATGCTGAATATCAATAGTATTACTATTCATTCAAAAATATTATTCATTCAGCTGAATTTTTGAAAATAACAAATTTCTTACTAAAATCATTTGAGCTCTCAAATATTCGAATTATTTATTCCTTAAATTAGACTTACGTCACTGGGATAGCATTTGAATAAAAGTGACTTTTGACAAATACACTTCCAATGTTGATTGCCAAGGTTTGTGTTTTGTATTTGTTAATCTGTAGAACTGGTTAGGTCAGTTACTATTGGCATACACATTAAATAGACCACCAGATATTGCTTGTATATGTATCGCTATTACATTGTGGGGAGACTGGTAATGAGATTCAGTAAGTGTTTTTACTGGTATTTGAAACTTATCTGTTGAGTTTCTCTGCATCAGTAAACTTCAGGGCCACCAATGAAACGCGAACTGAGCATCTATTCCTTTGTGATGAGAGAACAAAGCATTAACCAATAGACTGCAGAGCTGTCACTATTATTATTTTCAGTGTTATTTGTTCATTTATTGAACAGAACTGGCTAGCCTACTATCGATGTAAGGATAGTGCTAAGGAGTTTGGGATCGGATACGAGTTTCAGCATATGACGAAACGCTTACAACAGATCTCACTGCTGACCAATACCAGATATGGCCATTTGTTAGAGGTATACATTATCTCTGATAAACATACAATTTCCCCTGAGAAAAATACGAATGGTAGGTTCCTTAAATGAGCAGTTCCAAATACAATGTTAACAACCTTTGATTTTAAAAGGCCACTGAAATCCATTATTATAGAAACCCTTAAAGATACTGCGTATACTTCTTACTAATTCCCTACTAATAAAATTAGTCACATGGTTGTTTTTTTCATTGGATATGTAATTTACAAAAATGGAAGTACCAGGTCCATAAATATCTCCACTTTTTGTCAATATTTTGTTTTAGACGCACAGATACATGCTAAAATTCGGACGCGAAACTCTAAATCCACTAGAAAAAAAGATCCGATAAGTTAATAGAACATAATCTATAGTGAATTTTGGAATGTAAAGTTAGGAAAGCCACGTGAACATGTAAACATTTCACTACAATAACTTTTTTTAGAGAAAAAATTAACAGTAATAACTATTAAAGTGAGTTCTCACTGACTATATCGATTTCTTTTATCATATTCAGCCTTCCCTGTTTGCTGTTGCATCAACTCTTGGTGAATCAGCTAATCCTGATGACCAGCTAAGAGCAATAAACATGCAAGTTAAACAAATTTTTGATAATTTGATTCTTTTACAGAAATAATTTTCCTCTTAAGAAATAAAAAAGAATCAGAATGTTAGGGATTTTTCATTGATGTTTGTTAGAACAAAGTGTTGATTTATCTTTAAACACATAGATATCTGAATTTAATTAATTCAAATGCGAAAACCGATGGACACCCTGAAAGTCATACTGTTTTGGATTTGGTAGACCATGTACTAAAATTTGAGATGAGCAGCAGATTATCAAGTCCACTTACTGATCACTAAAGAGATTTTTCACTATCTTAACTCTCTATAAGTCTCTGTACTAATTATTTAATTTTAAATGAGCATCAAATCTATTGGCCTTATTGTCCAAAAACCCCATCGAGTTTGTATTTACTGCTGTTTTTTATTTATAGCTATGAACATCTTCTCAAACAAAATTTTGAACCGATCAAAGTACATTTCGCTTTGGGTATGTTACAAACTGATAAAAAGAACTATATCAAAGCATCTAAACATTATCAGAATGTTATTATTGTAAGTGATTTATTTAAACAGGTATGATTATTACTTCAGAGCAATTTAAGAGACACAGAATTTTACTTTCTAAACGAAAAAATCTTATGCAGTTACCGTATATCCCTATACTACAATATTAACCATCTTATTTAAATCATAAAACGATCAATGTTAGACCACCATCGAAAGCCTGGAAGCACTGGATAATGGCTTCGTCCTAGCATGGGACTCTTCAGCTCTGCGCTAACTACAACTCTGCACGTGGGAGTCGGACCCAGGACCTTCGGTCCTGCGCGCAAACACTTGACATATAAACCACTGAGCGGAAATCTAACGGTTTTAGTGACTAACTTCAATCAGTCCACAATATATTGCTCGACCATCTTTTATCGTCTACGGCGGGGAACTGCCTTACACCAGATACGATTGAACTACACTGGTCATGGCTTCTCACTAGAACTCCTGAAATTTTCCCAGTGAGCACGTTACTTGTCAGTAAAGCGTTGTGGAGATTGTTTAGTTTCAATCGAATCGTGGACCAATCAAGGTTAGACTACCACCTTAGCTCTTCATGTGCATCTACCGACCTCTTACTACATCATTCTTTATAGTTGAATTATTGTACTGTAGCCCGTTTTGGATTTTTTCATCATGTCATTAGTTTATAATGAACGTTCTGATCTTCAAAAGTAATGCCAACGCCGCCCAATGATGCATGCAATGTAATCAGATTCTATATACGGATATATCATCTCTTATTAAGTTCAGTGTATCCGTGTAGGGTTCAGGTATTCGCCTTTCTAAAGAAGACTTTTTGTCCCAAATGTACTTTGATTAACCCTATTTCTTTGTTACTATTCTAGTTTCGAGCATTGTGTCATATATGCTGTTAACATAACATGAATTAAATCGTCGAAAACCAAGATAGTTATAATTTTGCTAGCGACTCGTACTCATTTTCGTACAAAGAATTCGTGTAACCTTTATTTGAAATTAGACACTTTAGCAGATCTTAAGATTATAAGAGACTACATATGACTAGATGCAGATACCACTTTACGGATTATGTACAACAACATACAAAACTGAACTGGTGCTGGTTGACCTATGCTGATGATAATGTCAGTAGCATTTGCAAAGAAGTAATTATTGTTTGAGTTGTTTCAAAAGCACTTAACTCGTCTATTTTATTGTAGTGAACGAAGGCTTAATGGGGAAAACCAATTAATTTTTTTATGCCAAATCACATAGTGGCATTGTAAAATTCGTATTAAATACATCGTTTGTATATCTTCCCTCAGTTATCATTTACATACTTCATCATTCTTGCGATCGTGTTGTTCTCATTCTTATTTCTGTCTGTTTCCTTTCCTCTTCTTATTTCACTCTTTCTGGTAAGCATTCTAGTTCGTGCTACATACTACCTATATTTGTCCGCATAAGTGCAGGCCGCATTATGTCTACTCGTTTTTTTCAATCATTAATCTACTGATTTGTAATCATAATGATTATAACATTTTGTCCGTTTTAGATTACATACGTGTTTCTCATCCGGATATGTTCTTACCTGATATTTTTTATTTTGTCGTTTTTAAGCTGGATTCTGATCATAAAGGTTCATTATTTAACCTAGCTCTACTTTATCGGAATCATCTTGGAAAACCAGATGATGCAAGGAATCTCGCACTTCATCTTATCAAGGTAAATTTAGATTTATATTTATTAGTTTTATGCACCGAAAACCATTGACAGAGATTACTGTTTTATTAATTCAGTCAATGTGAATTATTGGAGTGATTGAATAAATATTTTAGTCCTAACTAGCTTAATTTTAATTAATTTTTGTTATTCTGCTTGTTAAATGGCTGAAAAAATTGTTTAGTGCTTCGTACTACAGCTGAAAGTTAAATGCTTAAACCGCATCAACAGAATTAAACGAAAGATAAAAACTGATAAACCTCTTTTGTCATTGTTCATTTTGGTTATCTGTGTGATCATATCTAAAGAGCAATGATTGATGTACCTTGTGACAAAAGTTTGTTATTTCTCTCATATGTGTGACTTTTTCGTTTACAGGTTCATCCTTCACATATAAAGTCTTATTTACTTCTCGGAGATATAGAATTAACTGAAAAAGCGAACATAAAATTAGCAAAGCAAGTAAGCCTTTAACTGTAAATCTATGAATTTCTTAATGCTACCTCATCTTGAACATATTTCAACATATACTTACCTTTTTCCTATTTAGTATTTTGAAGAAGCGCTAAAATTGGACCCAAAGAACATTCAGGCAAAACATAACCTTTGTGTTGCTTTGGCAGATGAAGATGATCTAGAAAAATCGGAATCATGCCTTTTAGAGGCTATAGCCATGGAACCAAAACCTCAAAACTATTTACTACAACATCTAGAAATTATACGTGGACGTCTGCATTCTCGTGGAAAACATGGATATACCAAGTTAAACAATTATAAGTAATCGAACTATCGAAATCATACATGATTCGAATGTTTAAAAACTGTATCCATTATTTCTGTGCTTAGAAAACTGTCTTTTATACAGGAATATCGACAAAGGGACACTATTTATACGTTGACTATGTCATTAGCACCCACAAATACTTTTCTTCGGATCAGGTTGACGGGCGCATATTAAAAAGTGCGATGATCAAGTTAGGTGGGGGACTAAACACACAAGTGTTTAAAATTTAATCGCTTCGTCTATTTGACCAACCGAAGCGCACTTATCCAAACGTTCAGTGTATAGTTTACTCTCAACAAATACTGTAAATTCTCGAATTTAGTAACAATTTTTCCCCTATTACTCCAGTCATGTCCCATATATCTATTTTGAACAACGAAGCTGAAAATTTAGTTGGCCTGCTTAATAATTCGCATAGGGTTCTGCGACAGTGAGGCTTAGACGAATTGTGTTTTCTCACTTATTATTAGATATCATTCCGATATGGTATTCGCGACCCACTTATTGACCCATGTATGTCAGCGAACTAACAGTATGGGCCTTCTTGAAGTTCACGTTTATGGGTATGAACCAAAATATTTATAAAGTGATAGGTTTTAATTAGTTATATCAATGAATCATTTTGCGAAGAAAACTTAGTTGAATTATGTGAAATGGCCATCTGAATATCATAGATACTCACATTCCCGTGAGCATCCTACTTTACGATAATCCCACGATCTCACTAATTATGAGTTTTATAGTTGATATCTCGTTCGACCTACATTTAAACATGTACAACTGACTGACCATTTTCGGAACAACAGCTCTCTTCACCCGCATGACGAGGTGATCAATATGCAGTCTCTGTACGCTATGGATTGAGATTGATAAACTTCAAACATCAAAATATGCTATACTCTATAATACATGTTTTAGACCCAAAAATATACATGCTATCTAACAATATTTTTATGAATTGGTCATTGGAAAGGGTTTAATTGTGCAGTCCTCCATGCCATCAATCTGTTCGAGGTAATTTTAAGGGCATGAACACTTTAGTGTTACATTAAAAATGAATTAACCTCCCTATTGTCTATGCAACAACTAATGCACACGAATACAGCCACTATAGCAGTGGTTTCAGCAGAATTACGCGGCAGTGTTTACAAACGAAAAGCGAAATTCAGAAGGTAGACAGCACCAACCAAATCACACTTGATGGGGAAGTTGTGAAATAGGTGCAAGTCTTCATGTATCTGGGTAGCATCATTAGTAATCAAGGAGGATCTGATCCAGATGTGAAGTAACAAGCTAAGGAGTAGAAGGCCTGAGTCGATAAGTAATCAAAACAGAGAACTTGTGAATTCTTTCGCGCCTTCAATCTGTCCGAGGTGATTTTATGAGCACGAACACGGAACAAGATAATTGGGAGTCCCAGAAGTGTTGATTCATGTAAGGATATTGGAAAATGACATAGTTTCGCAAAATGGTTTTTGCTTCAGAAGTCGGAGACTCGTGATTCAATAGAATTTTGCGTGCAAAAAAATAATTTGTGAAAATACTTTTTCAGGCTTTTGTCTGGAACTATGACAACGAGTTCATCTAAATATTTAGGTATTAATGATGTGTGCTGTATATCGTCACTAAAGGTAACACAGAAAACAACATTATATTTACATCGAAAAATGTTCATACGTTACAATCACATTCTATCAACAAAACTGTGCAATAGGGAACTTGTTTATAGCAACATTCGACGAATCGGTATTTCTCTCCTGTAAGTGTGAAAAAATAAAGTAGGTCTTATTTTGTCACTTACCAGTCGAACAGTAATTCATTGCATACTGACATGCGCTGTTTTATTTCTTTCGATAATTCTTTCAAATTTGTAACACAAGGAAGTAAATGTTTTAGCTCTTTAGCCTTAAACGTCACGTCGTAGTCTGAAAAAAAGTTGTAAATTTTTGTTCAAATGATTGATTTAAAAAAATAGGTCAGTTATTGATAATTTCGACTGAATATTACTCAGTATCAATAAACACTTGAATACTTTATTACTTCATATTGACCAAAACTACTGGAGCAAAAGTGTGAAGTAAGCACGGTTATTTGCAATTGATAAAGATTTAAAATCTCAGTAAGAATTGTGACCCCATGAAGCATTGCGACTTTTTGAAATTTTGTAAAAAATAATCCTGGAATGAAAATTACTATATTTACATACAGAAAAAATCATCCTATCAAATTATAATGATAATTGTTGCATTACAAAGAGACAGACATCTTACTTTGCAGTTTTTCACTAATGAGAATTTCTTTGTTTAAATTCACCAAAAGATAGTGTAACAATTTTAAACTATTCTCAGCTAGCCAGCTTTCTTTGATTTGTGTTAGAATACATTTCAGCAGGACATCTGGAATCTGTAATACAAACATAAATTCTGAAAATATTCATCTTCAGAATACATTTGTTATTTATAATAATCTACTTGTGTCATTTAAAAAGCCTGAAAAAGTATTTTCACAAATTATTTTTTTGCACGCAAAATTCTATTGAATCACGAGTCTCCGACTTCTGAAGCAAAAACCATTTTGCGAAACTATGTCATTTTCCAATATCCTTACATGAATCAACACTTCTGGGACTCCCAATTATCTTGTTCCGTGTTCGTGCTCATAAAATCACCTCGGACAGATTGAAGGCGCGAAAGAATTCACAAGTTCTCTGTTTTGATTACTTATCGACTCAGGCCTTCTACTCCTTAGCTTGTTACTTCACATCTGGATCAGATCCTCCTTGATTACTAATGATGCTACCCAGATACATGAAGACTTGCACCTATTTCACAACTTCCCCATCAAGTGTGATTTGGTTGGTGCTGTCTACCTTCTGAATTTCGCTTTTCGTTTGTAAACACTGCCGCGTAATTCTGCTGAAACCACTGCTATAGTGGCTGTATTCGTGTGCATTAGTTGTTGCATAGACAATAGGGAGGTTAACTCATTTTTAATGTACGAATTATCTAGCTGTGTCCATTATACTCCATCTAGTCAACAAACAGAAGAGAAAACGCGTCAATATGCACCCGTCAAAAGTTAGGCATTATTTGGAATGTATCTGCATTGCAGTCTATCTTAATAATTCTGTATGTCGATAACGATTTTCTCAGGTATTCCATAGTGTCGTAGATAATACCACAAGGTTTTCCTATGCAGGATGTTGAATGCTGTTTCATAATCAAGGAAACTCATGTATAAGTGATGAGTTACATCCAATTGTTTGTTTAACAAGGATTGTCAGGCTCCCGATTCGGCTGGATGGATTTTTCATTCGGCTTAGGAACTCGAGAATATTACCTGGTACTGGCATCAGCGTAATCTCTATGTAGGTCCCACATGCACTAAGATCATTTTTTCCGTATATTGGTGAGAAACAGAACATCTTGCTTCTGAATCTGACTTTAGTGCTGTCGGAGTTATTACTTCCTTAATCTCTTCTCAGTTGCTTGCAGTAATGGTCTCTTCTTACAGTAGATTTGGTACGTTATTGCTCTTACCTATCTTAAGCTCATTTGACCCGTTAGTATGTCGAAGGAAAACTGTATTAAACTATTGTATTCACGCTTGCCGAATCGTTCAATACTTTAGTTTTAGCTTGGTCTTCACCAAGTAGCGATCTAAAGCTATATCACTTCTTGCATTTGATCTAACGCCTTCAATGGACCTGAATTCTTGATTGATCTAAACGTAGTCGATTTGGCTCTCCGTAGAGTGGTTCGGTGGAACCCATGTAACTTTATTACTGCACATGTGGGAGAAAATGCTGCCACTCATAACCATGTTTTTGGAAACACAGCTTACTAGTCTCGCATTATGTTTATTCATTTATCTGAGTCGTTATCTGCGTCCGTACCCGATTTTGTCAATCCTGATCTTGACATTTAGCTCCCCTTGTCATGGTCGTTAGATGATTCCGTGGGCATTTCTCTGGGTTGGCATCTGACATATTTACTGTTATCATTTGAGAGTGGGTAGCACTGGATGACATTTTTTAAAATTCTTTTCTTTAAGAGATGCTTTGATGGTTCTGGACTTATGGGTTTTGCGTTCTATGAGTGTTTCCGTGCTTCTTCGGAGAGCGTCATTGTGTCCAGCGGGTTCTACTTATTTTAAGCACGGCTAGGTTGTATCTTCTGACTTTGAATGACCGTCCTGGCTTTCGCCATGAAAAGCCAATTCTACCATCTGAAGACCGTTAGACTACTAGGAAAGACCTTAATTTATTTAACTTATTTTTCCGGTTGAAGTTTTTCCAGTGCGGTTCTATTTTACGGAGTGGGTGTGTTAAGCTTTCCTTGGTGTTGAGATTGGGAGTAGCTGCAAGCGGAGTTTCGTCGCAATCACCAATACATAAACATCTTGGTAGGCAACATTTTTATCCAAGTGTCTAAAATCCGATGATTTATAATATAGCGTGGATCGTATCTTGACTGTTAAAGCTTTTAAAACCTCAGTACAGGTGCATGTTTTTGTTGGCATGGTTCCTCCTAGATATATGGTTTGATTTTTAAGTATGCGCTTAACATATGGTCCAGAAAACATTTAAAGCTTCTTAATGAAACCATCCAGCTCAAAGAAAACATTAAGATCTCAAAAGCATTGTTGGTTAAATATACGTAGAGACGTGGACAGACAAAAAGTAATTTGTGGAACTCGGGAAAGCAATATGCTAAAAGACTTACAAATTATAGTTTGTAGAAATATGATATTTCTAGTAGTAGTTGTAATCAAGAATTACTTGATCTTACCTTAAGATTAGGATCAAGAGAATATAAATTACAGCAATTTATGTATAGGCTGTCAGCATGTAGAGTGTCGACGTAAGTATTCCCACTGCAGGAAAAAAGGTAAAACGGAAGATAAATTCTGTAAAAAAATTAATAGGCATTGGTGATAGTGGGGTTAATCCTACAATAATATGTTGTAGCCATGTGGCAGTGCAAGTTTGGAAATGCTACCGACTTGTCTCTTAGTCAAGAGAATTGTAGTACCTACATGGTCAACACAAGCATATCTACAACTGGCTGATATCCGAAAAGCGAGATTCATTTCAATGTCAATGATCTTTTGACATTACTGGATCCCAATAAAGCATGTTATACATAATCTTCGATTACTCAGACATGTTATTTTACTGAGCGGAAATAACTTTACTTACTATCTGTTTCTTTAAAATTTCGTATCAATGTGTTCATTCACAATCCACCTAAGTATACACTGATGACTTTATGATTATAATCATACAGTATTATTCCATAACGGTCATCTAATTGTGACTAGGTAATTCAAATATTCGTTAGAAAACTAGTAATTTAGTCCACATTTCCACCATGCCACACTTTAGAATACAAGCTAGCAACCCCTTGCTAATGAAAAACACAAAAGGCTCAAACAGGTTGTTAAAAACTGAGTTAGCCACTTCACTTGGTATTGTTTTGCCACTGCAAGGTCTGTTTTAATTTAATCCTATGTAAATACAATAAATGATAATACATGTAACTGAAGTTCAAGACAACGATAGCTTGGTTTTATTTACTTTTATGTTTGGCTGTTAGTACTAAGTTTATAAAATCTATCCTGAAATAACAGCGATAATTAAACAAATGGCGACAACAAACAGCCAGTACAACAATAAAATTGCTTTACTTATACATCTAGTTACTCTTGTCGATTGTGAATTTTTAACGTCATGACGTGGTAAGTAAATTTGCATTAAGCCTTCAAACTTATATAAATCTTCGAATCTATAGCTGATTATCAAATTTAAAAGTTGTACACCGTTTTACTCGTCTCATTCTTGTTAACGTTCTGCATCAAGTTTTTCACAAACAACTTTCAATATATATCAATTCAAGTTGCCGGACCATATCGACTGTATGGCTGATAGCGACATGATGTATTTGCGTTCAAAATTAGGTCGAATTAAAAGGCCACCCGTTAAACGATTCTCTTCTTTATGCTTAAAGATGTTTGCTAAGAATAGACGGTTGTTCGAGCCTAGTCACAGCATTGCGTTGTTTGGGGAAACACCTTACTGCCATCACGCTTCTGTATATTCCTTAGCACTACCTCAGCCCTTGAACATGAAGTTGCTGTTTTTAATCGACCTGCCTAATTATTTGGGCTAACTCATTCATCAGGTGCTTGGATATGAGCCACATTCTATGCATGAAGGCTAACAATCTTACCCGGATGCCCATATCAAAGTATGTAGAGCGAAGTTCAAATCACAGAAATCGTAATGAAGAGCCGAATATCCTAACCATCAAGCCACCGCTCCACAATCTGTTTGGCATGGTAGGATCTACAATAAAAAACGTCCCAGCTAATATAATTTAGTTGGACCATCAAGATATGCAACACGAACACGATGTCAAGGTACCTATGGAAACAACTAGTATAAACACAAGCATTTAGTTTCATGCCTTTTAACTGGGTAACAAAGACAATGTACTTATCATTATGAAATCCGCTAAAGTGCTGTTTATCAGTCTGATTAAGTTTCTGGTTCTTTGCATACATACAAATTTAGAAACCGGTTGTTTGAATATCTTGACTTATTATGGCTACTTTAAATTATCGTGATATGTGCTCACGCATCATCGACTTGTATTAAATAGCTGTATTATAGATACACTACTCAAGAAAGAAATTATAAATACATTTTGAAGTATCTAATCCGATAATTATTCACATTGAAAGGGAAAATAACACGATGTTTGCGGTAAGTATGTAGATATCAGCATTAAGAATCTGTGGATAGATTATCCCTACAAAGATTTACCTGGTAAATGTTCTTCTGTCGAATGAAATATCTTGAATCCTTTCATTAAAATCCTGCAGTAGATTGTTGCTTGTTAGTTCGTGCGCCACTTTATGTGTATCAATTATCTGACCCGATAGTTGTTGCTTAATTTGTTTCGTCTAATTTAAAGGGATTTTATGAGTGTTAAGAATATGACTGAATGAAAAAAAATTTATTTAGACACAAACATCGTTTAAGTAGAAGTGAACAATAACATGGTACCTGACCGCGTGAAAGAACTCCGAATTTAAGCACAGATTCTTGTACTCAGTTTACAATCACAGACTTCGCATCCTAGTTGCGCGAATTATCACTTGGCTACACTATACATCAATTCAAGCGATAGATCATTCATAAACCCATTATATTTTTTACGAGAGCGGAAATTGGAATAGTCAATCGTCAAAAACAATAATCATATTAAGTGAGTAGATGATCACAGCTAAAGCTTTTCAAAATACTTTTGGAACTTAAGCATCACTGACATTTTGTCTGCCGAATTCCTCCGTATAGTGTGTTTCGCTTTCGATCTAGTCTTAAGGTCATTACAGATATGTTCCCATTTAACAACTTTACCTGGGTCAATCGACTTTTACCGCTTCAAAAAATCTAAGAAATATTTGTTGTTTTGAACAAAGCTGGGCCAAAGTAGGTTATCATTAAGATATCAAAGCTGGATATATATCATCATATAGTCAGATGAATTAATTTCGCATCACACCAACTATGTGGATTTTTGTGAGTTCGAAGGTGTATTGCTTTGTAGACACATATATTTAAGGTATATATGTATCATGAAAGTGACGCCTTCCTTGAGGTGTTACGATTTCCTGATAATTATTTAGCTTAATAGTGAGAATTTCTACAGGATTAATAGGTTTGATAAGAAACATCAAACTTTTACCATATATCATTAAGTAGGTGTTTATAATAATAATAATAATTTTTCAGTACGTAAACGAATAAATGAGCATTTTGTCAAATGAAGTTAAGATAAAATTCACCTACCTCACGACATAATAAAGGGAGGTTATCTAACAGCTTTTCATTTTCTTCATGCAAACGGCGAATCGTTTCCCGTTTCTTTCTCTTTAAATATTACAAGATAAGAGAAAGACTACAGCAATTTCACTCATTACTTTTTATTTTAGAGTTCGTTTTTAAGATTTTTACCCTTGTGAAATATTATAAACCAAATAAATATGTGATCAAATTGGACAGAAGTGAAAAGAGTATTGTTACTAATCTCGATCTGACGGTGTTAGGAGCTACCAGGCTAAATGATACGTCTCTATGCGTAAAACTGGTGCTAGCTAGGAATAAACGGTTATCTGAAAACGTTTGCAACACGTTGATGATTTGTTTGCTTGAGTAGGACGCCAAAAGTCCCACTAAGTGTCTAAAGTTTGGCCATTTATGTTTACTTGAGAGCTCAAGTCATTTTCGAAAATAATGAAATCCATCTAGTTGGTTAACAAGTTAGAGTTGAATATGTGTTACATCCACGAAACAGTTTGAATTCGATTAAATATTGCTTAATGTATAGAGCAAGGAGGAAATCGAAATCAAGGATTAAATGAGTCGTTTAAATTCTAGTTGTGTAAAATGGCCATATCATTGCTGTTACTGCTACTCATGACTGATGAATATAAACTTCATTGTGTTGAGATTACTGAGTTTTGTCAGTTCATCTGAAATTAGAACGTGGATTTGAGTTCATATGCTTACTGGATAACACGTTCCTAAACCTTGTGTAAAAAATGTGACAAACATCTCCATTTCGTTTTAATAAATTCATTTGTAAAAGGTCCTATGTTTCACATTTATAGTAGATAACAACTCGAATGTTTTATTATTATTACACCATTGCTACAACTGATGGCAATGCATGGCAAATAGCACATGAACATCGCGAGAACTAACTTCTGCATAATTATTAAAATTAACACATTTTTTATGTTATTACAATTAAGTAATTTGTCAATATGCCTAATCTATGAAGTCAGGTCTTATGTTGATGAAGAGTAGTAGCCCGTTCAGTTGACTTAACTTTCTTACTCGAACCTACATGCCTAACCTCAAAATAACTCAATCCATCGTCCTACCTAACGCGAGCAATGCCTTAACGATAACTATGATCATTTACTTACGACCACACTTCTACTTTTAAAGATAATCTTTTACAATCGAGGAGCGATACAGAGCAAACTTCTGAGTAGTGCATTTGTCTTCGAAAATAATCTTCAGCTTTCTAGAGTCCAGATATCCTTTTTTAGCTGTACATGTGCATAAGGGGATAAACTGACAGGAAACAACGATGGTGAGCAAAATGAAAAGACAGACAAGCGACTTGGCAGAATAGGAAGAAATTTTATATGTCCTGATAATGGATAATTAGCGCCCCAATACACTTTAATAACTGAAGGCATAGAAGGCCTCGCATTTACTCCAGAAAATTGATAGCTACCTATTAGTGATAAGGATTTCTTAATGTAAGCGGTGTATCTTTTTTATTAAACGTAAGGATGTAGTGTGATCACAAAACTGATGTTGGTAATATCGGTTTAGGTTAAGGTAACACGTGTGATGACCGTACTGAAATTTAGATTGGTTAAAAAAATACGAACACTAAGACAGTTTTTATTATTTGACCTATGACCAACTGGTTATTATTAGCTACCCAAACAACTTGTGTCCGGCATCGGTAGCTTGCACCCTAATATCTGTTCTGCATACTCTCTTAATGTTATCCAGTCGATAGTAGAAGACACTTCTGAACACTTGAATCGGAATCTACCACGTGAGTGAAAATAAAGAATAGTTCACCTCTCCAATTCTTCGTAAGTTTAACCAAATATATTTTAACACCAGACAAAGTTTTAGTAGTTCACAGCCCTATTGCGATTCTTTAGAAAATTTATTTAATTTAATGAAAGTCGATTTACTCTGAAAAGTACAAAAACTAGCAGTTAGTTGTAAATATGTCTAAACTCTACTCACCAAAAGACTTTCAATATTCACCATTTCTGTGCCTAGTGATTCATATTCAAAAAGGTTTGTTTTGCTACATTCTACGTCCAACTTTAACTTCCCGATACGATGCTTCATGTAGTGGACCTTTGTCTGTAGCGTTAATAATTGAAGTTCAGCATTTAAAAAATCTCTTGACACACTACATTTTTGTAGTTGAATGCGCTGGTAAGATAAAAGATAAAAACGGACAGTTAAAACTGTGATGACACCGGTTATAAGATTTGATTCTCTACTTATTACAATGATAACAAGAGCATTCTTTATATTGTAATTTAATGCCAGACAGATAATTTACTTGTTATCATAAGCACGACAGGATATAACTCACCTTTACATAGCAATCAAATAAGCAACTAAACAGCTCACGATCTACTAACTAAAGCAAGAAAACATGAGCAGCTTTGTCACCATTTATTAGTCTTTAACCTTAGAAACAAGTGACGTGACGCGATCCACTTAATATAATATGGTAGAACACATGTATTCAAACATTTACTACCAATACCTTGAGTTAACATCTTTTAAATTAATAGTTACATATACGTTTGTGGAAATTGACGAAAATATGATGAATAGAAGCCAACTTACAATATTCAGAGATCCTATATTCATGTTGTTTCAAATCGTGCTCTGGACAGTAAATCACAAAGCATGTTTAATGGTAAATGGACTTTTTGGTTGTCAGTAAAATTTCACACTAAAGCTTCAGAGTAGTCAGAAAATATGTACTGACCAGAAGTTTGTACAACAACAAAGTAACTACCAGAATAATATGTGCTCAACGACATATTCGGAAAATGGGAAAAACAATTAGAATCAAAAAAGTTCGCAAGAGCTAAAGGTAATCACTTGCTTTCAAGTTTTGAAGCTCAGAAGAAAGATTAAACAGATGTTTTCTTTTCCTGCTGATTTCAAGAAAACTTCTTATATGAGACAGTTGCTTATCCTCCAGGAATTTATAATAAAAATTGAACTTACAAGTGGAACAGTAGTGCAAGTCCTATAATATAAAAACCCCATTGGAAAAAGTATTGTATTCAAGCTTTTACCTCTTGTAACACACCGATTCACGTTTTGTGGATTCAAGCTGTTCAAGACTACGGATGACAGTTAACCCTAGCCATTTTGCTAGGTCACTGCTTTTTTGTGAGACATACAATTCACCAATACTTTGAACTGAATCAACAGCGAACTTCTGATCACATATAACTGTCAGTACATAGTTAAAATAAAAAACATACTTGGTTTAATAATTCCGTGACCGATACATTTTGAGCACTTTCCAAATTACTTGAATGGAAAAGTAACTACGATTAGAAAACCATTTACTTATTTTTGAACAGAAAACAAAGCAACTTTTCAAGCAAACGTGAGTTGGATTGTAGTTTCGACAAATGATTACCGATTGTTGTAACGATAGTCCCCATTAAAGTTGATTGCATAAGCAAACGACTCATACTATCCTCCATTGTGCTAAAAATAGAGTGAGGTCATACTAGCACGTCGGGATAGTAGGTAAAAGTGAACATACAATACAGGCACGGAGAAATGGCAAGGTAGGCTCCTTCGAATCTGTCCGCCGTTTTGTTTCAACGACCTTGAACGGCCTAATTAGAGGCAGTCATTCCGTATTTCAATTGCCGTGGGTTTGTTGGTTGAATGTGTATAAAGTTTTTTCATATCTAAGTCATCTTTACCTGCGTTGAAAAGCACAAAATAACTGTCAAAGGCAATAATTTAGCATGTTCATAACTTGATCTGTGATCGCAACTGCTGTAGTAAACCTCAACCAAATATCAAGTCACCGGTAACTTAAATATTTATAGTACTTCCTTCAGTTACTCTTGTTTCAAGGAAAAAATTTTTATAATTAATGGTTGATGTTTGTTGTGCTTCATTGTCAAGTGACATTTCAGTCGACTTAAATGGTTCAAATGGTTGTGGACGGAATAGAAGAAGCTTTCGCTTAACAGGCTTCCGTGTCTAGTAGCAGGGGATCACCAAATCCTCCAGGCAAGAACCTAGGTATGTTAACAATAAAAAAGGAAAAGAACTTTGTAAATCATAGTGTGATGCTATCCTTAGTCCTTAAGAATAGGTCAAGTTGCCTCTTGAAGGACTCCTGAGAAGTCGCTTGGACTAGCTCGGCTGGCAGCGAATTCCAGCATTTGACAACTCTTAAGGAGTAGAAGTTGTGTCTACATTCCGTCTTGCTATGTTGTGTTTCCAGTTTCTGGGTGTTACCCCTTAGGTTATTATTCGAACTAAGCTTAAGTAGGTGTTTAAGAGGATGTCCAGAAGTGTTAAGAATACTATAAGCCATTAGTAAATCACCTCTAAGACGCCTATATTCTAGTGGGTAAAGGTCTAGTGAACGGAGGCGTTCTTCGTAAGGCTTAGATTTGAGTCCTCGAACTGATTTCGTGGCTCGCCGTTGGATATGCTCCAAAGTGACCTTGTCCTTTTGGAGTGAGGGGGGAGTACTATGTTTCCGTACTCTAAATGGGGACGGATGAAACTATTGAAGATTGTATGGAAAGTTCGTCCGTCAAACTGTCCAAAAATGCGCTTCAACGTTACCAGTGCAAGGTTTGCTCGGAAGGCATTTTTGTAACAGTTAGCGTAAGACTTTAAGTCATGGGGCACCAGGACTCCTAAATCTTTTTCGACTTGGGATACTACTAGAGAGGAGTTTCCTAAGTTGTAACTGTAGTTTGCGACATGTCTCAGATGGACTACTTTACACTTTGAAGTGTTAAAGGTAAGTCCGTTATCGTCTGCCCAACTTTGAAGTTGCGTCAGACCCTCCTGAAATGCCTGTGTATCGTCTTGGTTGCGTATCTCTCTCCAAAGTTTCACATCGTCGGCAAAAAGTAATAAGTCTGACGTTACCTGTTGAGGAAGATCATTTATGTAGATCAAGAAGAGAAGAGGCCCTAGTACTGAGCCCTGGGGGACCCCACTAGGACATTCCATAGCCTGAGATAAAGTGAAATTAACCCTAACCTTAAAGTGTCGATTTTTTAGGTATGAAGTAAGCCAGTCGATTAGAGGTGGTTTGATACCTAGTCGTTTGAGCTTATTGACAAGACACAAGTGGTTAACCTTATCAAAAGCTTTTGAGAAATCAAGTTTAATGATATCAACCTTTCCCCTGCGATCGAGAATGCTTGTCCATCTGTCCACCGCAGTCAGCAGGTTGGTTATACCACAGTCACCCTTCCTGAAACCATGCTGTTGGGGCGAGAAGAAATTTAAGGACAGTAGGTAGTCGTTTAAACCGTCGCATATCAGGGACTCCATGAGTTTTGAAGGTAATGACGGAAGAGCCACCGGCCGATAACTTGAAGGTTCATTGTGTCGACCGCCTTTGAAAATTGGTGTGATGTTAGCCAACTTCCAATTTTCCGGTAATTCGCCTCGGCTTAGCGAGTGTGAAAACATCACGCTAAGCGGCGTTGCCAGGATTGAGGCTGCCTCCCTCAGTATGGCAGGATGAACCATATCCGGGCCAGGAGAAGTATCTAGTCTTAAGTGCTGCAATTTACAGAACATCAAGTAAGCGCTTAGGTTCACTTCGGAGAGTCCTGTGGAATTGCAGATGAAACTGTCGTCAGTAAAGTTGATGTCAGAAGGTTGAAATGTTTGAGAGTAATGTGCCGCCAGAAGGTTAGAGGCGTCGCCATCGTTGTTGGTCGGGCCGTTAAGACCTAGCAGTTGAGAAACTCCTGTTTTGGCTTGACGAAGAGAGGCTGCATAACGGAATAGGCTTCTAGGGTTAGAGGCTTTGTCTGGTACTGAAGCCTGTCTTCTCTTATAGCCTTCGTGCTTATGTTCCTTATATGTTTATATTGCCGATACGCTCCGTCGTTATTAGTTCGTTTGTACTCCGCCCAACAGTGCCGTTTGCGGCTTAGGAGGCGAAGGGTACGGTTCTTGATTACTGTAGGTGGCTTGCAGCTTTTGGGAACCGTTTGAGGAACTGACTGGTTTGTAGCAGTAAGAATTCCCAATGACCATCCACATCGAGTTGAGGGTGAACATCCCAATCCACCTGTTGTAGATAGTCATGTAGAGCTGGCACATTCAGCTATTTAAAATTCCAACGCAAATTGTTGTTGGGATACCTTAGCTTAGTTTTGATGACAAAACTGAAGGCTATGACGGCATGATCGCTCTTTCCCAGAGGAGCCAGAATTGAGAGGTCAACTAGGAATTCTTCGTTTGTGAATACACAGTCTAAGCGCGATGGTGTCTGACTGTTTCTCCAACGAGTTGCCGACCTCACATTTTCATATAAGCCCAAGTCATCGATGAGGTTGAAGAACCGAGCTTAAATTGTGTTGTCGCCTCCAGTATACGAGTGGTCCGCGAAGTTGACTCTAGGGAGGTTAAAGTCCCCTTGAATCAGGATGTGTGTGAAACCGAGACGAGTAGAGCGGGATAGTCCTTCCAGTATACGACTATCGTACTCGATGTCGGCAGTTGGCTTTCTGTAAATGACTCCGACTAGACACCTCGAAGTACTTGACAATCTAACAGAGCACCATATGGATTCCTCAAGATTGTTAAACTCGAGGTTATGAACTTGGTGCACCTCCAAGCAAGAGCTTATGTATATAATTACCCCACCCCCAATTCCTGTTTTTCTGTCGTTGCGGAACAGAGTCATCCCAGGTCATGCTAACTCTTGGTCCGAGAACTTAGAAGATATCCAGGTTTCAGATATTCCTATCAGACTGGCCTTATTAGCTTTGGTAAGTTCACGTAGTTCATCCAGTTTGTTTGGTAGACTCGCGGCGTTCATATATAAGCAGTTTATGCTTTCAATTTGGAACGCGTGAGCTTCGTCCTGTTTTTCTGTATGAGCCTTATGTGAATGGACAGGTAGCCCACCTATACGAGGTTTTCCGAGGTGGTAGGCCCTGTCCTTAACACTTTTTTTATCGTCTAGACAGTCCACAAGTGGAATTGTCTGTTCCAACTTGCCTTTGTGTTTGGTCCTAGCTTCGTATGGCCTTTCCGGGTGCATGTGGATTCCAGGTGGCAGTCGACGTCTGTTGGTACGAAATGCTTCCAGAGTTAAAGCCACCACATGGGAAGATGGGAAGGTTATCTTCATTAGACGGGATCTACAATCACCTTCTTGGCCAGTCTCGTCACATGCTGAGTCAGTATGTTTTTGAGCCTCAAGGACTGTCTGATGAATTTCCATTTCCTGATGTCAGTCTTTGATTGCGTTGGGTCCGTATATTCCGGCATACCTTGCACAATTGTTTCTTCCGCAGAAAAACTTGTCGCGAGATTCTTTAGGGGTGTTCCGTATGATATTGCGCTCAGAGTACGGTATGTCGGGCAATATTATTACGTTACCATCGGATTTCAGCAAGTGACTTGCCAGCAAGACGTCCTCCACGTCGGTAGCATTCTTAAGTGTTACTCAGAGAAGCCTCGGGTGATTTAGATGCTTAGATTCCTTTCCTCGAGTGAGCCGGGTGACAGTCAAAGGCTATATTCTAGGAAGTTCGAGCTTCTTGTTCAATACACCCCAGAGCATCCTGTCATTTTTGTCCTGCAGACTGAGAGGAAGGTCAGGATTGTCAACGAGGTTCATGATAATGAGAAAATCGTCACGAACTGTTGTTAATTTACCAGGTTTCACGATTGGTTCAGGTTTAATAACTTGTTGTTTAGAGGTCAGTGCGCGTTTTCGAGTCTTGGGCTCTTTATTGACCGGACGAACAGTCTTGGGGGTAGACTGTGCGACTAAATCACCAGTTATTTTCCGTGCAGCAACACTTGGGTTGCTCGGCTTAGGCGGTGATGCCTGGTTCTTTTGGGCTCTCTTAACGTGGGTCGAATCACCTGCAGGGTTTTTGGCAACCACTGTTGTGTTCAGGGACCCTGAGCTGGGAGACCCGAGTTTGCTTAGGGAGTCTAATACTGCCGACGTGATGATGGTGCTGAGCCTCGACACGTCATCGTTAGTATCGATGGATGCTCCATCGATTGTATATCTATTTTTGTATCCGTCGCACGCTCTTGTTTGTCTACCGGTTTTTTTTACTATCGTTATCCAAGTTATTTGACAACTTGTTCCGAAGACCTGTCAGTAGGACAATGATGTTACTTAGCAAGACTACAACGTCCGTGCCGCACGTGACACATGCCCACTTTCGGTCTGACTTGCTGAGTCTGTTGTAAGCAGTTGCTGTTAGATCTGTGCATGCTTCGTGGAACCAACCTTAGCAGTTGTCGCACTGCATGCCAGTTGTAACAGTAAAACGGCATCCCGGACGTTTGCATGAGTTTTTCATGACTATGTTGAAGCAAACTATGTTATAGATGCTTGCAAAAGCTTAAGACCTTTAAAAAACACTTAAAAACACACTGAAAACGGACAAAAATGGATAAAATGAGTGATATTAACTGGAACTAGTCTATACGTGAAAAACAAAAAAAACGAATAGTAAGTTGAGGCAAAACCACAGGTAACTATTAAATATGGTGAAACTAAAAAAAAAGTAATCTACCGAACGTATAGCTCAGGATAGATTCTTTAAAACTGAAATGGTACTTTTGCTGCGTAAGAACACAGCAAAAGTTTGATAAGTGCAAATCACGTTAGG